GTATAATATGAAAGTCATGATAGACAGTGATCTATGTCACTATGCAATGATTAAATCTTCAGTTGTAAGACATCATAATCTTCAGCATATCTTCTTATTAAAATCCTGACTTCTTGCAGAATTTAATAATTTAAAAGATGTTTGCATCTATTACATGATGAAACTAAACATAGATGTCAGAGAACATCAGTATGAAGATGCCTATACATATAAAGTTGATAATCTTGATTATAATCTTATGTTAGAACTTATCTGACTATCTGAATAAGATATCTTATTGAACACTTGAAACAGGAGTTTAATATTCTCTAACAATAATAGAGTTCATGAGAATGATATTTACAAGACTATGAATCTGACACAGATCTCTGTCAATATCTATGAAATACTCAGAAAAAGAAGTCACTGAAAGAATTACTAATAGCAGAATCATGTATCAATCTATTCTACTAGTCTGACTGATATTAAAAAGACTCTAGAAAAGTTATTCTGTGTTATAATAACAAATTTTTATATGAAACTCTCTTAATAATATCTTGAATATCTAGATATCTTCTGATAAGATAATAATGCTATAAACTCACCTCTCTTACAAGGTCTAGAAGTGAATCACAGTATCAAGTTAGAAAAGAAGAATAGTAAGAACTCTGAATTATTATAGAGTTCTCTTTATAATATATTCTGAGATGAACTTCTTCTCCTTTGAAAGACACTCAATGATCTGTTAAATAAAGAATTCATACATATTAACAACTCTTTCACTGCAGTCTCTATTCTCTTTGCAAAGAAATTAGATGAAGAACTCTGATTCTGCATGAATTATCAAGAATTGAACAGATTAATGAAGAAGAACTGTTATTCTTTATCTCTTATCAATGAAACTCTAGCTTATATTGAATAAGCTTAATAATTTACAAAGTTAGATGTTATCACTGCATTTCATAAGATCTGTATTACTGAAAAAGATGAGTGACTTACAGCATTCTGAATATGATATAATCTCTTTGAATAAGTAGTCACACTCTTTAAACTGACTAACACTCTCAGTACATTTCAGAAGTATATCAACTGAGCACTCTGAGATTTTCTTAATAAATTCATATCTGTATATCTTGATGATATTCTCATCTTCACTGATGAATTCAGGAAAGAATATCAAGAACATGTGTAAAAGATATTATAATGACTATAAGAAGCAGAACTGCTGATAGACATAGACAAGTATAATTTTGAGATTAAAAGTACAAAATATCTAGACTTTATCATAGAAGCTGGCAAGGAAATTTAAATGAATTCTGAGAAGGTCTCTGCTATTCTTGAATAAGAGGTCTTATACACTGTGAAAGATGTATGAAGCTTCATCAGATTTATCAACTTCTATCAATGATTTATATAAAACTTCTCAGATATCATCAGATCACTTACAGAACTTACTAAGAAGAACTCAGTATTTCAATAGTCAGCAGATACTGAAGCTGTATTTATACAGATGAAGAAGATGTTCATCAATATCTCTCTACTTATGATATTTAATTCTGATTATGAAACAGTTGTTGAAGCTGATTTCTCTGATTATATTATAGAAGAAGCTATATTATAATATGATGATAAAGATATCTTATAATTATACATCTTCATATCTAAGAAACTGAGTCTCACTGAATACAACTATAAGATCTATGATAAGAAACTTCTTACAATTATATACTATCTAGAAGAATGAGACTCTGAACTCTGAAGTATCTCTGAATTTGAGATAATCACAGATTATAAGAATCTCAAGTACTTTACAATCACTTATAAACTTATTAAATAACAGATGTGATAATCTGAATTTCTAAGCTGCTTTTATTTTACAATACACTACTGTCTCAGCAGTCAGAACTCAATGACAGACACTCTCTTGTAATGAGAATAAGATATACTGTTTAATATGACAGATATGCACTGAATGAACTGAGAGCATTAGCTCTTAGATCTGAAGATATTAATTAATCAAAATAGAATAACTTATAACACTATATATACTTCTTTAATTAGAACACTCTCTCTCTGAACTGACACTGATATTGATATCTTCACTTTTACTACACTGAATGAACTGTGATATACAGCAGCTCAGACTGATAAACTTCTTCAGACTCTCACTGAAGTAGTATATTAAGAAGCACTCTGATTTCTCTTAGAACTATATATAAGAACTGATATCTCAGAATATTCAATTAATAACAATAACACTCTATGATTTTATAAATAATATTAAGTTTCTCACTTCAAACTCTTACACATCTGAATAATGTAAGAGATGTATGATTTGCATATAACTGATTATTCAGACTGTGAATAACTGTATAGAATAATCTTTCAAGAGTTCTACTGATCTGAGATATTAAACAGTATCAGATACTTTGTTTAAAACTGCAATCACTGTTCTTTCATTATCTTATAAAAGAATTATAGAAAAGATCTATTAAAATCACTTAATATCTCTAATAGAATCTGATAAGATGTAGTAATTAACTTCACTATTAATCTATCTAAGAGTAAGAATTATAGAAACATTCTGATCATTGTAAATTGATTAAATAAAGATATAATATTAAAATCTTGTAATAAGATAAATACTGAACAAGTCACTGAAGCTTTTCTACAGAGTCTGTTCTATTAAATATATAAATTACTGAGATCTATAGTATTAAATTAGAACTGTCAATTTATAAGTACTCTTTGAATAAGAATCTGTCAAGTTCTCAAGATTATATATTATCTGTTAACTATCTATCACTCTGAGACTGATAATGCATTAGAATAGATAATTCAGACTGTAAAGAATTATCTTTATAAGTTCTATAATTACTTATAAGATGATTGACATGATCTGCTTCTACATACAGAGATCACTATCAATAAATGAGATGTTATTTTAACAGATATAAGTCTGTTCTTTCTTATACACAGTTATCACATAAAGATGTTGAATCTTCTAGAGATTATACAGTTCATACTGAATCTCTGCAGTCTGATTCAGATCACTGATAATATAGTAATAAAGCTCTGAGATGTCTGTGACTGAGCAGAGATCTTTATAACAACTATAAAACAAGATCAAGAGAATTAAATTAATATTCACTGAGATCTCACTGAATAATATAAAATAGAAGACTTGATATAATTAAATCTTAAGAATATACAAATCACATATTCATCTCATACACTGAATTATCATTATATCAAGTATAAAGTAATAGAAGTTCTAGATAGTTATAACTACTGTCTTCATACATTATCAGAGATTTATAATATCTTTCATATAAGCTTGTTTTCCTATGCTGTCACTGATCTGTTCTCTTCTCAACTGACTTTCAACTAGCAGCTGCCAGACATCATAGAAGAAGATAATAAGCTTGAGTGAAAGATTGAGAATATTCTCAATAAGAGACTCTGCAGCTGCAGCTGATAATATCTTGTGAAATAAGTCAGCTATAATTAACTAATCTGAACTCTGAGTTTCATATTATCTGAAACAGTGACTCTTGACTGATAGAAACTGCTTCTGAAAGAGAGAGGTTAATGTGACAGACTGTGTCTGATCAATTATATAGATTATTCTGTTACACTTCACAGATTTCAACTGCTTCATTCTTGAATGTGTACACTTCAATTCTCAGTCATTCTTGATTGCTGATCCTCAGCCGTTATAAACATGTATAGATTCTTTCATCTCAAACTCTCACTGTGTACATCATCACATATATATATAAATATTCATTTTGATCACTGATTCTTGCACTTTCTCTTTCTTTTCCTTCTCTAATGTTTTTCTCTTTGTTATATAAGACCTATCAATATTATACTGATCTATTCAGTGTAGATCTCTTACACTATTCAATTAATTAATTAATCAATCAATCAATCAGTTATTGACTTATTAATATATAAACTAGGAATTATATTCACTGAATCTCTCTCATGAAAGAAAATATTATTCAATATTAAGAGACAGAGCTTGACTGAATTACAATCATATTTATTCATGAAATGAGAGAAGTTAAGTGAATTTTCTTTACACTTATTTCTCTATATCATATTATGTATGATTATCTACTGAATCTGCTAATTTTACAAGAGAATTCTGACAATTACACTATTATTGAACTACTGATAATTTGAAAGACAGTATTGTATAATATTCTGATACAGAATAGTGATAAAAATGATGATTATTTAATATATGAGTCTCAGACAACAAGATATTTGCATTGCAATTGAGATGTCTTATTTCTTTAAATAGAATAGATAGTTGATGAATAGCAGCAGTTGTACTAAGTAATAGATAACTAGCTTAATAGTATTGATTTCACTGACAGAACAGTATACAGTGTCTCATAGTATCTTAGTAGTATTCTGATGATGATATCTGCCAATTACACAGTTACTGAGTAGTGTTATGATGATGTTAGGAAGTTCTGCACTGTCTCAATGCCATCTTGATGTTTAATATTCAGTGATGTGTCACTGAATATAATGGTGGAACATGTGTTACGATCGGCGACACGTGACACGGGTGGAATGGTGGATCCACGGTGTAATCACCGTAAATTAACCCTACGTTCTTCCCATATGGACATGATACGCGATGGTGTCCCACCCATCGCTTGTCAGAACAGACGGTGGCTGACTGGGTCAGGGGACAGACAATACGTCATTATTCTTTTCTTCGAAGCAATCATCCGTACACAGACATGAATGGATGAATCTGGACACTGGCTGGGCGTACGTTTATTTATGTATATCTTGGTGGTTATTGTCTAGTAAAACACTCCTATCTATATAGCAACAAAACCAAGACGCCCAAAGAAAACAATAGTCTACCTGTGGTATATATTCTAAAACAAAACCCCGACAAAAAAGATTCGTTGCCCCAAGCATTTAGAAATCCAACATCCAAAAAAATACAAAAAATAAAAGAAAGGGACATCCAAACCCCGCAGAAACGATCATCACCTCAAAATGATATCATACCCGTCCTGCTGAATATGCACCACCTCCGCATCTACCCCATATTTACGCCGCACCAGCTCAAAAATGATAAGACCGGCGCTAGTGCTTGGCACCTGGCGGAGAGCATTCCCAAAGAAGCCCCCAAAAAGCCACGGGCGCCAGCCGCCCGCTCGTAACGCCCGCCTCTGACATCGCATAAACAGTTCCAAGTACGCTTCATAGTGATGCTTCATCATCTTTCTTCCCGAGTGATCCAACTTGGCCATCGCATCGATGTGCTCCAACCTCTCGTAGTAGACCGCCTGCACCAGAGTGAGAGGATGATGCACAAACTGCTGCACCAGGGACGCCGTAAGGCCGGCTAACATCAGGAAACACGGTTCTAGACCATAGTGCGGTCGGATCGTGGGGATATCTCCAGATGAAATGCCTGCTGTTGACACAGACAGTTTCTCGACCCGGTGCGGCTGAAGGGAGCCGTAATAATATCTAACAAAGGTATAGTATCCTTGCGACTTGATCGTTTCGAACATGCCAAAGAAGAGAGCAGAACCGAAGGAGTCCTTGAGGAATGACAGACCCCAGCCAGAAAAGATGCCCCGGATGCCTATTTCATGAAGTTTGTGCTTTCCGTATTGCCATACGTTCCTATACTGGCCCTTCATCATATCGTTGGTGCTAAATCGCACCTGGAGCGCATCTAATGGGGCTGCAATGATGGATTGTATTCCTCCCGCGGCAAAACCGGCCGTGAACGTCAAACTCGGAGCTGGAGGTGGGTAAATGCGCTTGGTCGCTTGTAATGTAGGCTCATGGAGTCCGCTTAATATTTGGAGATATGAAGTATATAGAACTGCCCCAACCCTGTTGCAAAGAATAGTGCCAATGGGTCAGAAATATCATATCCCGCAGCAAAGAAATTTAACTGTTTAAAATAGGATTTGGCGGGACGTGATGACATACACAACATTTCCCATGAGCGGCGGGAGGACTTGGTCTGGAAGGAAACGCCAGCCATATGTGCGGACGGCGTGGGCAAGGAGACCTGGAGTCGTCGTATGCCATGACCAGCCGCCCTCCGCGACTCGCGGGTTGATAGCTTTGGCTAGAGCCTAGGGATATCCGTCTACCAATCAGCCTGGCTGTGACTCTGGCCGGTGCAAGCAAATCTATGCAGGGAGGTGCTAAGCAGACATCTACCTGGGTAGTCACCTAGGCAGGTAGTTAACTAAAACTAGGAGATTTCGTACCATATAGCTACGGAAGTAGATCGTCAACAGCCATCCTGAATACAACATGATAAATACAAGTAGAACACCTACTCCACTCGTGTGCGAAAAAACGCTTTGGCAGGGGCTCTGAAATAGAAGGCTACAGCCTGCGCGCTCAGGGCACGAACACCCGCCGCGGATGCGCCTGTAGCGGCATTTGTTCGAGGTTTCCTGCGCGCTCCATCCTCCGAGGAATCTAAGTCGGTCGAGGGGATTTCATCAAAGCTGGTATTAGAGGGGTCAACAGAAGCGATGGACATAGTTCCGTGACTGAAGTGATTGCGGGCGATGGCTCCATGGGATGGGGTTTACTCGAGGCCCTGTACAGAGAAGATTGACTTCCTGGGGCGATGAAACTAGAGCCGTGTCGTTCCTAGAGAAATATCATGATCGCAAAGATTAACGAGAGAGTGGAGAATATTAACAAATGAGCTGTCAACAGGCCAAAATACCAGCCAATGTATGTAATATCTCACGAGTAAAATGCGCCGAAGTGCAAACAAAGAAAACATTCCATTTAAGTCAAGATATACGCTAAACTCAATTGGGCTAAGCACAAACGCGTTCTCCCAGCGTCACGTCAAACGCCGCAAGACAGCAGCCGTCTCGCAAGATTTCTTCTGTCAATCGTCAACTCCCTCGACTTCACTCTTACATCCTCCAGCACCTTTTTCCGCTTCCAAGTGTTCCTTGCGACTTGTTGCTCTTCTCGTTTCCATGTGGTAGCTCAGTAATTTTCCACCTATTGAAGCTCACAGTCCTCCTCAATAACTCCCTTCCTGGCCCTAGAAGATCTTTTTGCCAAAGATGGCGGAAGAGATAAAAATTGACAAAGCGACGTTTTTCAATCGCCTCTCTAGCTTCTATTCAGCATGGAGAGCAGACAAGCGATCGTCGAATCCTGTGTTTGGGGGCGCTGGTTCGATTGTGATCCTTATGGGAAGAACAGAGGAGGCAAATTCCTTTCAGAAAAATAATGCTATGCACGTAAGTTTGATGTCCCATGCTGTTGGCATTAACGCTCTCGTTTTAGACCTTCGTTTAATCGGTTTTATCCTACTGTTTAGTTCTGGCTGCTGGGTTATGAGTTCCCGGCGACTCTATTCGTTTTCACAACTGAGGCCATGTATGTGGTAACAACCACAAAGAAAGGTAACATCATACCAACGCCTCCCACCCCTCTTATATAGGATCAATTACTTTAGTGCTAACTTGCATGTATTATAGCAAAACATCTTGAACATCTAAAGGGTGGAAAGATACCAGTTGAAATCCTCGTCACCACCAAAGATGCCGAACAGAGAACGAAGGTTTTCGAGAAATGTCTGGATGTCATAAAAAGCGCCGGGGTAGGTTGTCATTTCTTCCCCTTGATAACCAACTGATCTGGCCTAACCCATACGCAAATCTATAGAAGAAAGTGGGCACCCTACCCAAAGATACGTCCTCCGGTCCGTTCGCGGAGGAGTGGAAGCGGGTGTTTGGCGAAATATCGAAAGAGGTAGAGGAGGTCGATATTGCGCCTGCTCTGTCATCCGTTGCGTTCGCTGTTAAGGGCCCGGAGGAACTGGTAAGAAGTTTACTTCTCTGTATCTTCACGTAGAACCCGTCCTGACTAGGTTAATAGATCTCGATGCGAAATGCCTCCCGTGCCTGTAGCGGTCTCATGTCGGAATACTTTGTGGACGAAATGTCCCAGCTTCTCGACGAGGAGAAAAAGATATCTCATAGGGACCTGGCAAACAGAGTGGATGCGAAAATTGATGATGCAAAGTTCTTTAAGAAGCTTGCTAAACTGCCCGCCGAGTTTGATCCACAACAAATCGACTGGGCTTATGGCCCCATTATCCAAAGTGGTGGCAGCTACGATCTTCGATTTACCGCCGTTCCCGACGCCAACAACCTCCATACCGGTATTATCATCGCTGGATTTGGTATTCGCTACAAGACTTACAGTTCCGTAATCGCACGGACGTTTTTGGTCGACCCTAGCAAATCTCAAGAGACCAACTACGCGTTCTTGTTAAGCATCCAAGAAGCTGTCATGAAAGACATCCGTGATGGGGCTGTGGCCAAGGACCTGTATAATAAAGCGCTTGGAATGATAAAAGCCAAGAAACCGGAGCTGGAGAAGCACTTCCTTAAGAATATCGGCGCCGGAATTGGAATAGAATTGCGAGATTCCAATATGATTCTTAACGGCAAAAACAACAAAGTACTTAAGAGCGGAATGACCCTCTGTGTCATGATCGGCTTTACTGACATTCAAGACCCAGATCCGAAGGACAAGAAGAACGAAACTTATTCCATGATTATCACGGACACTGTTCGTGTTGGCGAAAGTGGGCCCCATATCTTTACGAAAGATGCGGGAGTTGACATGGACTCTGTCTCTTTTTATTTTGGTGACGAAGAAGAGACTGAGAAGCCAAAAGTCAAAAGCGAAACTGCAAAGTCTAGTGCCATCGCCAGTAAAAATATCACAAAGTCTAAATTGAGAGCTGAACGACCAACGCAGATTAACGAAGGCGCAGAAGCCCGTCGACGTGAACACCAAAAGGAGTTGGCTGCAAAGAAACTCAAAGAAGGCTTAGAACGTTTTGCTGGAACCACAGGCGATCAGAATGGGACATTACAGAAAAAGTTCAAACGTTTTGAATCCTACAAGCGAGACAACCAGCTTCCCATTAGAGTTAAAGACTTGACGGTGTACGTTGATCACAAAGCCTCAACCGTGATCGTTCCTATTATGGGTCGGCCTGTTCCGTTCCACATCAACACCATAAAAAATGCGAGCAAAAGCGATGAAGGGGAATACGCATACCTACGTATCAACTTCCTGTCTCCTGGACAAGGTGTAGGTAGGAAAGATGACCAGCCGTTCGAAGATCCATCCGCGCATTTCGTGAGGAATTTGACATTAAGATCGAAGGACAATGACAGACTTGCGCAAGTTGCGCAAGATATTACTGAGCTTCGGAAAAATGCTCTCAGGCGCGAACAAGAAAAGAAGGAGATGGAAGATGTCGTTGAGCAGGACAAGCTTATTGAAATTAGAAGTATGATAAACTCCTGTTTGTCTGTCTGCTGTTTTGGATTTTACTAACAAAAGATATATTCCAGATCGTCGACCTGCAAAGCTTCCTGATGTGTATCTTCGACCACCGCTGGATGGAAAAAGAGTACCAGGAGAAGTTGAAATCCACCAGAACGGTCTCCGATATCAGTCGCCACTACGGAGTGAGCATGTTGATGTTTTATTCAGCAATGTCAAACATTTATTTTTCCAGCCCTGTGCACACGAAATGATTGTTATCATTCATGTCCACCTAAAAACTCCTATCATGATTGGTAAACGGAAGACCAAGGACATCCAGTTCTATCGGGAAGCTACGGAAATGCAGTTTGATGAAACAGGGAATCGCAGACGGAAGCACCGTTATGGAGACGAAGAGGAATTCGAAGCTGAGCAAGAAGAAAGACGCCGTCGACTTGCGTTGGACCGAGAATTCAAAGCGTTTGCCGAGAAGATCTCCGATGCTGGCAGAGATGAGGGGGTTGACGTTGATGTTCCCTTCCGAGAAATCGGTTTCAACGGTGTCCCTAACCGCTCTAATGTGCTCATCCAGCCCACCACGGATGCTATTGTTCAATTGACAGAGCCTCCGTTCCTAGTGGTGACGTTGAGTGAAATTGAGGTTGCCCATTTGGAGCGTGTCCAGGTATGTTGTTCTTCCCATATTTGTGTCTTGGGAATTTTTACGGGGCTAACAGGACGTTCGCGAAAACCAGTTTGGCCTCAAAAACTTCGATATGGTGTTTGTTTTCAAAGACTTCCACCGACCCCCGGTTCATATCAATACTATCCCCGTCGAGTCACTAGAGGGTGTCAAAGACTGGCTTGACTCGGTCGACATTGCGTTTTCTGAAGGCCCCCTCAACCTCAACTGGGGCGCCATTATGAAGACAGTCACTAGTGATCCGCACGGCTTCTTCGTTGATGGTGGCTGGGCCTTCTTGGGCCAGGAGTCCGACTCGGAAGAGGAAGAGGAGGAAGAGGAGTCTGCCTTCGAGATGTCAGACTCCGAACTCGCAGCTTCTGATGAGAGCTCTGAAGATGATAGTGAATTTGACGATGAGGCTAGTGCAGAGGCCAGCGACGAAGCGTTTAGCGGTGATGAGGATGAGAGCGCGGGTGAAGACTGGGATGAGCTTGAGAGGCAGGCGAAGAAGAAAGATCGTGAAAGCGGGCTCGATGATAGTGACAAGGGCAAAAAACGGAAACGGTAAATTAAATATTTTCAGTCCGAATTATCTGTTTTGTTTAGTGGGCAGCATGAAGTATGAATATTTATTGCGTGGATCATCTCTGCGAAATGCGGACTTTTTTTTTTTTTTTTTTTTTCGAAAATAATAATATGGGAGGCGGGTGGCGGGAAACGAAGATATGATCAAACGGGGTGTTCATAATTATTGGCGGTCAATTTCTTCTTTCTCTTCTACAAAACTCACTATCTTCTTTTGCTCGTTCGCCACAGTAAAACGCGGGGCCATCATAATAGTTGTTTATCCACAGAGTACTCCGTAGAAATGGCTCTCTACCAGGCAAACTAGTATGCTCGGCTGATCTCGAATAAAGTCAACCCCAAGACGGAAACCATTAAGGTCGCAATGATATCTATCTGCCCCTGTTAAGCAACTTCCTTCGTACGCATATCTACGGTTGATGGAACATAACGTCTCCAATATGATATGAGGGGGGTTCGCGGCCCATATAGTAAACTCAGACACGTAGAAGAAAGTAGTATACTTCCATTCCGCTAACTATTTGAAAGAATCCTACTAGGCCATCGAAATAGTTGCAATGGGTGCTGGATAATATTTGCGAAAACACCTTGGTGGGGTGTTCAACTTGTACTGCCTCCATTGGATTAATGGAGAAGAAAAGAAAAGCAAAAGAAAAGAAATATATAGAAATAGTTTCGAAATCAAATTGCGACATCAGATAAAGCAGGAAAGGAGAAAAGGAGGAAAGGAGGATCCAAGAAAACGCCAGAAAACAAGATAGAATATACAAGCGAGTAGCCTAAACATGTATAAATATAAGATGGGAGAAAAAATGGGAGCTCTTTTCAGCTATCGTCCCAAAGATGTAATGTATAATGGCAAGGAAACGAAGAGAAAAAAAGGGAGTTTAAGGGGAATGAGGAAAGAAAAATGGGGGGTGGGGGGGTGGTTTTTCAACAGGAAAGAAAAATAACGCCAGACCCAAATCCCTAATGACAATCACTCCCTCACAATGAACAGAGTAGGAACTGCAAAGAAATCGTTGATAACAAATGGGGAAAAAAGCGGAAATCAATTTTCTACAAGTAATGAATCATGACCTGCCACCGAATCGGTTTTCACGACCGGTCGCGGTGGCTGTACTCGGCTGTTCGTTATTCCACGTCAGATACGTGTGGTCACCGAGTTTCCTATTTGATTTAAGTAGGTTGGATTAGCCGAACGCGATTTTGGTAGATGGTGCTTGGATTATTGGCCGGGTAGAAAAAAAAACAAGACAGGCGAGGGAGCGGAAGGACGAACCGTGGCTTAACTAGATGTGCCAGTGTAAACAAGGCGCCGAGAACGATGCAAATCCCACCCACGACTACGTATGCAATTCCCATGAATGGATTCTTACCACCCATCACGGTATTTGTGGATATCACAATAGACTTCGTCCCTCCGTAGCGGTGGACTGGGAAATCTGATTGTGAAAATGTCTGTTAGCCAAGGGGTACATAAACGGAGTAAGAGAGGAGTAGAAAACGGCGGTTGAGGACGAAGGAACCGTACAGTCATCAATGTCAATTCGATAATCGCCAGCCCTCATAATGTCTTTGTCATTTCGTCTCGCCAGTTTGCTAAAAGTCGGCAGGCCTGCCGTTCGCATCCACACCTGGAGTTCTTCGTACTCGTGCAAATCTGGCGGAGGAGTCTCATCGGAGTAGCCATTGGGGTATCGCTCCTTCCAGTTGGGAGGAGGACAGATCTGATCGGGTTTGTATTCAGTCTTCCCGAATAATTGCTTGTCGCTACTCCATGAAATGCCCTTGTTGGTCATTTCATAGAATGGTGTGTCCGACGTTCCTAGGAGGGCAGGGGAAGAGAAACTGTCATTGAAAACCGAGTTCGCAATGAGGCCACAGGGATAATATGCCTTTTTAGTTTCCGGGTCAATCCTGAGAGGGTCACAGGGACTCCCTTCTATCGTGCTATTGGGGAGAGCCTTGCCCTTGAGTTGTTCTAGGTCCAGCGATTTAACATATCGCCGGTGGTTTTGGTAAAAGTTGGTGAGGCGGTAATAGAGGAATACCGATGGCCCGATATCATTCGGGATTTCAAAATACAGCGAGCATACGGTTGAGTTCACGGATACGCCACCGGGGAAGGTTCTGTTCACATTTTCCTCACGCTTCCAAGATGGGGTATCAATCTCTCGGGACCGGAATGACGAGCTGTATCTCCCTTCGTTCATAGGCTCGGGTTTGTCAAGTGGAGCTTCGGCCGCGCAATTCGTGTAATCAATAACCACCTCTTGTACCTATCCCGGAAGAGCCGCATCAGCAAGCAATCGGTCACTGGCCCGGACAAAGCCTTCCCCAAACCACACAAGAACACAGGGATGTATTGCGTACAGTAGAACTAGCCCATATCAGTAGACCTCCGATCGGCGCAAATATAACTCCGACAATGAAGAATAACGGAAGAACAGTTTTCGGAGTTAGGATAGGCCTGTCGCAAAAGCCGCGTCAGCGATATATGGCCCATGACCGCCAAAGAAAAATAAAAATAAAAATAAAAATAAAAATAAAGAAGAAAAGCGTAATAGTCCTTAACAACAGAGTTGTAAAATAGGTACTTACTGCCAGGCCTTCAAGCGTTGTTGCCGGAATGCCGTGTCTAAAAGAGTCGTCGCCGCAATATCATTTTGTCAGCTGAACGTTGTCCGCAACAACCTCCATATGAACAAACACGCTGGCATGTAGGAAGCCAAGTAGAGAAGTAGGGATTATGCGCACTGGCTGGTCTCCGGCTCTTTTGTTTCTTTTCATCTCCAGCATTGCGAGGATCCTGTTCGTCTACAGAATCCGGTTCTGATGCCATGACGGCGCGAATGGCGACGACGTAGACCTGCGGCTCAAAGGGCAGAATTTGAGGGGGCCTAGTAGTCCCTGGAGGGTGGTGTCGAAGGGTGGGTGGGTGGTCAGGCCAAGTCCCTCTGGGAGCTTGTCAGGTATCTGTATGTAGATGTCTTGTCGTTCTTCCTCCCCTTTCCTTTGTCCTCTGTGTTAGGCTGCAATCCTTGGTGTTTTGTTTGTGGTGGTAGAAAGCTTAGTAGCAGAGACGAGAACAAGTCGTTCGTGGAAGGTTGGGCTGATGTTCAGCTTGCGTATGGTACGGGAAAGTGGCTGATGGAATCGCCAGAGATTGACCGGCCTGCTTATTCATCCACCAAGCCCCAATCAACGGACTTCTACTCCGTACATCTACATACATCTACTCCGTACTCCCTACACTCCAGGTGGAAAAGGACGCAATTGACTTTATTATTCCCCTAAGGCGATGGCTAAGAAACGCGATGTAATTGTTCTAGAGAGGGAAAAACCAAAAGGGGCCTGTCTAAATCACTCTGATGGCTGTGCAATTAATTTCCCTCGCTTCATGCATTTGAACTTTGATGTTGTGCCTCATTCTATATTTAGCGCCAGGCGGAAAGGTGCCAAACCAACATAACTAACTATCAACTCTAAAAATGATTTTCAGTTCCAACAAAGAAAAGACTCTCTTAACCCATTGGCAACTGGGATTACACGGTGTGGGCAATAAGAAGAACAGATCTGCAGTTTCAAGCTTTTCTGCTTTTAGATTCTTAGGCTGCCTCATAAAGTGTGTCAAAGAGAAGACCGGTGAAGACTACTGATATGAAGAGCATGGACATGGAGTAGGTGGTGGCTGAAGTAGCCAATGCAACGCGGTGTGTGAGGGATTATTATTCTGGGTTGCACCTACGCAAGAAATGTATATAGAAGGTATTAGTTAAGGAAAGACTTCATATTGGGTATTGGGTATTTCAAATGCTATGAACCAAGCCAGTCGCCACTAAGCCATGATAAAAAATAATAAAAAAAATTGAAAATGAAAAGCCGAGGGCCTGTAATCATTCTGAATGTTCATCCGGTTCCCAACCAACCAACCTAGACAGGAAAGATAGAAAGAAATCCCAGACAGAAAGACAAAACAAAATGCCCAACATGATGAAGAACGCCACTCCAATGTACCTAGCGAAGGAAACAAAGAAAGAAGTTAAGGAATGCCGTATGGTAAAGTGCATGCAATGCACATGCACATGCCAAAATATGAAAAGCCCTCGCGTGTCCGAACTAACATTTCCCTCCCCGCCCCCACATCCGTTTCCTTCGCAAAAAAAAAAAAAAAAAAAAAAAAAAAAAATCCCCGTAAATGCGAATCAAAAGAATACGCCCCATCGAAGATGACGAAAGGCAAATCATCAAAGTAAGAACGTAAGAACGCAAAAGCCAAATAAACCAAACAAATGGGCTAAGGTCGTAACTTGCCCTGCCCCAGACTATCATCAAATGCAATGTGGAACCATGAAACACAAAGTATAGGCCGGCTGATACCTTGCTCCGCATAACAATAGCAAAATGATAATCTCGGTTCGGGGGGTGTTTGATAAGTAGAGGGACGGGAAAATCCAAATCAATAATAGAGAAATGAAAACAGAAAACTCGAACCTTTAAAACCCATGATGCATAAGAGATCCGAAACAAAACGTTAGGAAAACATTCAAGTCGTAAAAAAGAGAGGGGGGAAACATGTAGTCAAAGTAGTCCCACATCATGCAAGGAGCAGGCTTGGCGGAGATATGAGTTCCATTCCCGTTTCATAAAATAACAACCATGCGATATCACAGATTCAATCAGCGATTCAATTCAATTTTCAGTTCTCATTGTCCCACTCTGGCCTAGGTACCGACTCAAGTAGAAAAGACGGAATTAAGTGGCGCGAATCACAGATACTGTCGAAAGTACTCTGGTTTGAACCAGCCGACCTTTTCGTAGGCAGTCCACAACTTGCTTGCTTTGTTGACATCGATTTTGCAAGCCTGCTGAGCATCGGTTTTGCGGAATTCTTTACCGATGCGGAGGGCGTTGAGGCGTGCTTCAAAGATGCGACGTTTGCTACATAGATAGGTAGCGCAGGAAAGGCGAAGGGTGGCGGCCAGACCCACTTCTGCGGGGTCAAGTTGGTGACGGTCTGGGTCATTACTAAGATCCAGCATCTGGCCTTTCCAGTCCGCCTTCAAGCCCTTTGTGTTTCCACGAAGAGTTTCGACTGGAGGGCAGTAGTCAGGCAGAGATCTGTAGTCTGTATCATCGCGATTGGTTCCGATAACACGAGTAGGCTTTGGTGTAGAGGTGGCGACATCGAAAGAATCGTACACTCGTTGTCTGGGAGTGGACTTGGGGGTACGTCTTGGCCGCGGTCGTGGGGCCCGTACGCCACCGGTTGGGGTCCGCTTTTCTGGCGCTGGAGCGATCTTTTTCAATTTCATGGCGGTCTCGTGGCCAACCCGTTTAGTCTCTGAAAGTTGACGGTCCAAGAATTCTCTTTCCTTCCTTGCCCAGGCACCAGGATTCCGATTGTACTGCCTTCCGACAATGGGAACGCAGGACAAGGCGAACATGTATTCCCTGCGAGTCGGTTTGTTCTTCTTGTCTTGGAATCTTAACATCTGGCTCTCCATGTGTTTGTCGACGAGGCGTTCAGCGACGGGGGCCAATTGCGGGCCAAACAGTGGTTCATCAGGCAGGATATCGGTTTCATTGTTGGGGAAGAGGACTGGATCTTTCGAAGAAGCGACAGAGGCATCATTCTCGATCTGATCGTGGACGTTTGACTTTTGTTTCTTGTTCCCTGTGTACGGGGTGACGGGTGGCGAGGGTAGATCCATCTCGGATTGGGTGCGTTTTCGATGGGAAGAGATGGGAGGAAGGGTGTTATTCTCGTCAAACGAAGACTGTTTAGAGGTGCATGGCGAAAGAGATCGAGTGAAACTGTCGAGAGGCTTTGCCTCTGGCGGCGACATTAGGCTAGATACGGGCGGTAGACGATTCATGGCAATGTAAGTGTCAAGATGGTTGTGTGTGTATGTGTGTGCGTGGGTGAGTGTGAATTGAGTTGCGGATGGCGATAGGCGAATTGCGATGATGAAATAGGCCGAATTGAAATGTGAGGGAGATAGAAAGGAAGGGCGTGTGTCGTAAGGGTGGTTTGATTTGTGATATTAAAAGGAAGAAGATGAAGATGAAGAAGAAGAAGAAGAAGACACAAGAAAGAAGAAGAAGAAGAAGAAGAACGATGATGGATGAAGAGAAGAAGGAAGAAAGGTACAGGTGATGGATGTGATGGATGAGGAGGAGTGAGTGACGTTCCCAGGCAGAAGAAATACGTGTGAAGGGCGAAGGCGACAGACGGAAAAAGGCTGAGTTTTGCGGCCTGACCTTGACCAGTGAGTTGTTGTTGACCAGTGAGGGACCAAAGCCAAAGGGACCAAAAGGGAACCAACAGAGCCAACAGAGCCAACCAGAGCCAACCAGAGCCAACCAGAGCCAACCAGAGCCAACCAGCGCTGCGAATTGGAGGTTGCTATGTATGTATGTACTGTTTGCTGGGAGGCGGCTTGATTTGTCAGGCGGGCAGGTGGATGAATGACCTGTGACTGGTGACTGGTGACTGGTTGACCGGAGACAAGTTACTAGGTTGGGTGGCAACGGTGGGAGGTTATTATTAATTAATTGATCAATTGTATTAACTATATATATAATGACTGGAAGGGCTGGATTTACCTAGGTATACTTTGGATGTTTCCGTAAACTTTCCACGCTTTAAATAATGTAATAATGATAATAATAATAATATATAAGTAAGAATGGTTAATAACCGCCGATGACTCCCAAAGTCGGAGTTAAGCTGCTAAATGTGTCTGAACTAAGCGGGTAACTTAGGCAGGCAGGGAGTAAGTTAGTTCACCGTGTCAAGGGTCTGGTCTGGTCGCTTCGTTTAAAAAAAAATGGGTTCTTGGAGGATCGACGAGGCTATGGGGTTTTGCCTAGCCTGGCGCCGCGTCTTATTACTCGTTATTAGACTAACAAGACGACAAGAGGGGTAAACAGGCGTAGCAAGACAGCGATTTAGCTAATATTAATAGCAATGATATTGGCTGTACTTGTTGATAGGCGATCAGCAGCTGACAAGGCTGAGAGGGGCGTGATGTATGATAGGAGATAGATGGTAGATGATAGATGAGTAGATGATAGATGATGAAAGATGGATGGATGACTTCAATGGTTAAAGAAGCGAGACAGAAGGGACGAAGTATATAGTTTGATCAGCGCTATGATTGAGAGATAGAGAGAGAGAGAGAGAGAGAGAGAGATGAGAGAGTTGAAGGATGAGAGAGTTAGTGACCAAGGCAGCTGATATACAACTTGGAGGAGCAGTATTTAGCAGTACAAACAAGCACAGGGATACACAGGTCAAGTGATGGCATATGGATGGTTGCGGAGGTTTGGCGACAGTGAAGGAGGCAGAGGAGGATAGATAGGTTAGAGGAGGATGGGTCGAATATTGCCGGGAAAAAAAGCCACCGCCGCTGGCTGCGGAGGAGACTAGCTTTCTACCGGATTGATCCTCTCTCTTCTTTTCGTATTTAATGTTCTTGCTATTGACTCATGCGAGTTATTGCTTTGTGGCGGGGAGCTAGGAGCTGGGAGAGTGTTGATGTTTGCTCTAAGGGAAGAAGAAGAGAACGGAGAAACACATGAAGCAATTTCTTTGAAAATGATTTGGAGTTATGCGGTTGCCTGTTTCATGATGGGATGATTCATTCATCTATCTCTAACTAAACTTTGGAGAAGCGAGCTTAATTAAATAAAAAAGAGATTAGGTTTCGCATCCTCATTCATGTCTAATGTGCCGTTAACTCTCTGTAGTGAAAAGGCAACTCCGGCTGGTATAGAAAGAAAGCAAAATTACATTTACGGTTGTTTATGGATTGCGCTGTTGGACAATGGGAATCATGGTTTGGATCCAGTTTGAGCATCAGCAGGGCAGATGGGCAAAAAAGCAAGGATTGATCATTGGGCGCTACATAAAAATAGAACATTTATTCCCAACTCTAATTTGTCTTTTAGGAGTTTAAATCCATAACTACTCCACACACTGGGCCCAGGATCCATCCATGGGATGATACTGACAGAGTTCACAAGAGTCAATTTAAAGCATAGAATACATATATTAGAATACACATATATATATATATATACACAGAATATACATATATACACACCCACCCACCCACACACACACACACACACACACACACACACACACACACACACACAGACAGTTCCACATCCCTCCTCCCCTCATCTCTAAACCCCTCTTCACCCAAGCTAAGAATCAAGCTAACCGCCCATCTGTCTCCGCGCCTGACAACAGCTGATGGTCACAACATCATCACCAAGCCAATCACATCCATCCTCCCTCCCACAGACGGGGCTTTGTGCGTCTCAACATTTAACGAGAAGATAATCATGATCCGCGAAGTCTCTGTGAAATGGCGAAATGACAAAAGTTGTAACTTCCGCCTTGCTACGCCCAATTTTGATGTGAAGGCAAATCCTCCGCCATAGCCACCACTTCCCAATCTGGAAGCTGCTGTTGGAATATGCCCTGCCAAGCTTCCGAGCAGGCAGTCTAAGATAGAGGTTCTCGATGAATATCTGACCAATCTCTTCAATAAATACTGCACCATTGCTCCACCATTGCGCTCCTCTCCGGCGCATTGATTCTCAGGGGAGGGGAACTTGTACATGTACATGTACATGTACATTACGACCATGTGAAGTAGAAATATCAATCTCGGTACCCTCAAAGTCCATCAAGTTCTCAATATCAAAATACAAGACACGTTTTGCAGACACCAGTGGAGTGTGAAGTTAGCAAGGCCAAAGGGGTGCTGGTTTAGTGATATAGAAGTGGCTCAGTCAGAGATATTACATACATCAATGAAGGCTTGGTTTTTAACCGTAAACTTGGAATTTGCCAAAGCTTCCAGCAAGCCTTGCATACTGTTCTGCTGTTCTGCTATTCAGTTTTGATCAGTTGATTCTTATATGACAAGACATTGCACTTTTTATCAAGAGCAATGTTAAGCTAATTGACTGACAGAATGCTGGGATTTATTCTGAAATTTTTGAATATTCAACATTGACAGTAAGAAGATGGACTGTGATACTCTTTACAGATATGTTATTTGAACTGATTTTTAAATATTCAAAGATGAAGTGTCAGTTGTCTCAAATTATATATGCATTAACAACTGAGCTCTGAATTAACTAGGTATAAGCTGTGACATGAAATTTTAACACTATTATAGTGAGTGATCTTTATATTATAAATAGATATATAATAATGAATGATTGTGAACTTTTTGAAGTTTGATACTTTTAAAGTATTTCAGTTGCAGTGAGTCATTGTACTCTCTGTGATGCGAGGCAAGAGTCTCTGGATAGTCCTCCCACGGTGTAGCATGCTCAATGCCTTTCTTCATTTCTTCGTTCCATACGTACATCGACAGCTCTCCGTCTCGAGCGAGCCAAGAGGGATATCTTTCGTTTCCAACAAGGCGGGGAACCGCCGCGAGATTGTCCCAATTGATTAAGCCCCGCATACTCCCATCTTCGGATACAAGGATATTCTGTATAGCTTTTCAAGTCCGGACGTGTAAGCACGAACTTTGGGTCTTGCGGTGCCCGCGCCCAGTGCAAAAAGAGGTTTCAGCATCCCCACCTCGATCTCATGAGTTGGTTGCTTTGCCCTGTTGAATGAGAGAAGGTAGAAATCTCGTGGGTGAACGAAGGGTCCTGCTTCGTAATAGATTGCTGGTTCAATGTCATCGTCATCACTCTGTGCGAGTCCCTCAAGCATTGCCTATGGTCAACAAATCTCATTGGGCCGGTGCCGGTCAAGTTTCCTTCCGTATCAAATGTTGGGATCCCGCCGGTAGAAAACAAGAGTCGACTTAGCTTAGCCATAGCTCAATTGATATTGTCCAGGGTTCTGGTGCGGTGCAATCTCTGCTCTTCTTTTGAGATTCTCATGTCAAACCAGCAGTCACACAGAAACATTCCTTGGATAAAGCTCATGAGGGTGAAAGGAACAGCAAGTTCATTATCCAATGTTGCATCAAATGGAAAGACATCAGGAACTGGGATTGAGGTTTCATGGCAGATACGTTGCATAGTCAAAGCTTCAGATCACAGTGTGCTGATGAGGCAGGCTTGTTAAAATGCTCAGGTGTCCCTCCAGGCTGGAATCTTCAGGACCCATTGCAGCCCATCGTGAAATCGAATTGGAAATAATGCATGGTAAGAACTGAAGAGTGGAGATTTGATTGTTATTGGCTCAATGGGCGTTTCTTCTTTTTCCACAAAGTCTGCCAATTCTTTTTGAGTGACAGCACAAAAGTTGGGGATGCATTTGAGATTTACAGCAGATAGAACTGGGGGAAGAATTATAGTGTTGTTGCTCTGAGAAGAATTAGGCTTTGAAGTTTCTCTCGCTCTTCTCCATGGAGGCCGATGATTATGAAATTCAATGAGAGGGAAAGAGTGAAGTTGATCAAAAGATCTGAAGTATAACTTGTGAAATGGTTTACTACTGTTTTTTTGGAATTCAGCTGAATTGAGTTGATGTAAAGAGAGAGAGTTCACTCCCATTTTGTCTCCGGGGGATGTGGCCTAAATAGCTCGTTTTCAGGACTTTTCCTATCTCCACAAGAAAAATCAACTGGCAGCTCCTGGTGCTGTTCAATTCGTTCGCTTCGCTCCCTACTTCCTGCATAGGCTCTGATAGGACCGGCGGCAAGCAATTCCAAATGGTGAAGCTTTTAAAAGCTTCAAGTTGATCAACATCGCAAAGGCCATGGATAAAATTTAACATCTTAGCACTTTTTAAGGCGTCGCTCTTCTAGCTATATTCAATGCCTATTCAACTTCACCATCTCTATGTTGCCTACATAGCGTGATCTACTGATGATGCGCTTGCTTTGTTCTCTTCATATTTATAGAACCCCCTCTGTTTCATCAGGGCTCAATACTCCATGGTTCCAGAAGATCATCTTCGGCGCTTAATGGTCGAGGCAGCGAGGTAGAGGAGAGCCATCTATCCTCCAATTCAGCGGCTAGGATGGAAAGTGAGCCGAGAACAAAGTTATATGAGCTCTTAAGGTCACGATCCAAAAACTCACCCTCAGCGGCGCAATCATCAGCCACAAATATTTTGCGAAGTCTCATTTTAGAATATCAGACTCAATCTCAGATATATCAGATTCGACTCATCCTCCGCTCATTTTCTCCATCGAGGATTTTAGACTTAACGTTACATCAACCTTCAAAGCATATTTCAGCACTCAGACGGGACACGGATATTTCAAAATGAATCATCACTGATCTGCACTCAGATCATGTCCGCCATGAAATTCCTACAAACATCATGATTTAGTTCAACTTGTCACAAAGCTTTCTTTACCCGCCGGTCAAAAAAGAACAATCACCCCCCAACCCCGAAGAAGTCATGCATTGCCTGCGTTGTCTCGTCATCAAACACCATCCCAGTCTCATATCCGCAAAGTACAGCACCATCCCCTACCGCTCCCGCACTAGTCCACTCCTCATTTCCATCCCCATCCCCATCGCCAATGTCGTTATGAGCACTGCTATTCCGAGTGTTCCCGCTCCCCACGGCATGCAGCCCTTCCCCAATCATCTTCCCAATCTCCCCCATCCTCTCTACCAACCCCTCAAAGATTAGTGGTAAATGTTGTGCTGGCCTGGCCTCCCTGCCCCGGCTAATAACTTTATCCAACCGCAGTGCCAGCCTGTTCAGCACTTCTCGAAAATCCAACAGGTGAGACACATACCCCAAATCCCATGTGTTATGCCGGATCTCCATCACACGCGTCAGGATGAGGATGCAGTGCCCCAGCTGGAGCCAGGTCGGGTATGGCAGCGAAAATATTACCATGTCAGTCAGCGTCAAGAAGTGGTCCGCTAGGGATTTGATAGCGAAGAGGCACGAGACCAGCAGGTCGGTGCGGCGGACTGTGAGAGCGATTGTGGAAGTCGTGTTAGACGGCAGTACGTCTGTGTTGCTTGCCCATGGGCATCCTGAGGTCGTTGCTGATAATGATGAAAATAGCCGATCATCCAAGGCAATTTTATAAAGGTAGGCTTGCATCGAGTGGTAAGATATCATCAACATCGCTTTTTCCCTCCCTTCTTTGTTAGCCAGACGGGCATGTCTTCACACTAAAGCATCCGGGAACTCACATGCCGGTGGGATCACGAGATGTCGCATTTCGCTTATTTTATCACCCATTGCTTGGACTTCCTTCTCTAAAGATGAGATAACTAGGGGCGTTGCTGCTGGCCCATTTAGCGTGGATGAGTCCATGAGGTTATCATTGTATACTGTTGCACCAATTGTATCAGCTATTTGCTGAATGCGGACTAGATGCACAAGGTACGAATCGGTCGGGTACTCCGTCGCCTCTTGCAGAATATGACAGCATTTATCGGCATATCTGCTAAATCTCATTCCGTCAATTTCTTTCGCGCATGTCTTCGTTCTAATTTTATGATATTGTCAGTCATTTTGGTTTTGCCCAAAGGGGATCATTTATTTGACCGACACTGAACTCAGCCAGAATACCCCTAGGAAGGCACGCCGTTCCTCCAAAGTTCTTGCATTTGGGGCCGCGGGGGCCCGCCCTACTTCTCTTAGGGCCGCGGGTGAAGTTTTTGATCGTGTGTGAGGTTCCCTACTTAGCTCGAGGTCTGTTACCATGACCATGGCCAAGGGGAGGAGATTGGACAGTTGAGACTTGAGCTGCATGTGAACATGATTCCTAAATAAGAAGTTAGCAGGTTAATGGTGACTTTTCATGTCCCACACACACAGTCCTGGAAGTTTTACAAAACTCACCATGCCGAATAAACCAACAAAGCTTGCAATAATCCTAGGTTCATTTCTCCACAAATTAGAATGGAGCGGCTGATCTCTTCACGAAACATCTTGGCGAGAGTCTGTTGTCTCCGGGTATCGCTCTGATAGGCAACACCCAGAATGGCCATGTATAACAAGGGCTTCTCAAGCAGTAATTCTTGCGGGGTTATGCCCCATGGAAGTCGGGTGAAGGGGTACAGAGGAGCCATTTCTGAGCAGAAAAAAGCTAATAATCCACTGGCTTCCCGTGAGTCTGGCGGGATAAGTTGTTTAAATGCTGAAAGAGGAGAATATTCGACAGAAATATTCGGGACAGAAGACAAAGTGTGGGCATAAGATGACGAAAGAGCGGATGAGGGTGGGGATGGAAGAGAATCTGCTATCAAAGATTCTGTGCGGTCAGAAACAGATCTACCCTCCTTATCAGATCAGTCTGCAAACCGAACCAAAAAAATACAGATAGATAGATATATTATCTGTAGCTCATGATACGCACCTTGCTGTTGTGCGTCCCATGCGACTATGACTTCCCCGGGGCTGGAGAGTACATTCTTTCTTGAGTCGAAAGCATCTTTGACGGTGTGGTTTTATAGACAAAATCAGTCTCGAATAACTAAATCAATGTAGCTACTACATTTGTAGTGTAGTATGGGACAGGAAATTGAAAGTCCGCAAAAGCCACGTACCGCCTGCATTTCCGATCACCCTTCTCGATCTCACACCTTACTTTGGCGCTGGCACAGACCTTGCAGGCCTTCAGCGTCTTCATACCGTTCATACTTTCAGATTCAGCTTCCGGTTCCGAATGTCTTCACGAGTGCCTGTGTTATACACAGCATCTGTGGCAGCTTGCATGGATATACAGCTTCATATATCACTCAATGGTCACAGTCAACGCATGGTGATCCAGTCTAATGCGGCTGGACAGTTGGGCCATGGGTAGCTGACACGCAAGTGGCTGAGTTGAAGCTGACGTTGCTGGAGGTTGCTTGCTTCTAAGTTGGAGCCCTGCAGACACCCGCTGGGAGTGGTAAAATTCCGTGTCTGGTTCCTTGTGGCGTGGCGTAACTAACTTAGTTAGGTAAACTACCGTACTATCCATACATACTCGTTATTTTCATTCTTGTAAATATTACAGAGTAGTAGATCCCCAAGTATGGCTAGAAATGGATAATTATATTCTCTATGTAAGGCTACTCAAAAACCAAAGACCAAAACTAAAACATTCTATAGATATTGGAGTTCTTCCCCAAAGGAAATTTAAAGATAATACAATAAAGAAAAGCTGAGCAAGCTGGTGCCCATCACCCCCTGTCCTCCTCTTCAAAATGCCTCCCAACAACAGACAAGAAAACTTGGTCCAATGTTGACCTACTAACACTGTAATATGGTACTCCTAATCTGTCTTTTCCCTGTTCAAGTTGCTCGAAAATCTCGACTAGAGACCGCCCCTGGCCATACCTGCCCGGAATTGCAAACCGAACTTGTCCGTAATACATGCCTTTCTCCATTTCCGCTTCGGGAAATTGTTGCTGTATCCACATCTCCATTCTCTTCATATCTACTGGTCTCGTATGTGGCGCTTGGCTGTGCGCCATGTGGATGGAATATCCATTCCCATACTTCTGTCTCAGCGCATCGGTGGTCCCCAGCGCGAGCATTTTCCCTGCGATAATCCCTGTACGACTTGCCAACACATCTGCTTCCTCCATCGAATGGGTTGTTAACACAAGGGACCGGCCAGGAGTAACTGATGAGAGAGTCCGCCACATTTTCCGCTTGGTCACAGCGTCCATTCCTGAAGACGGTTCGTCTAAAAGGAGCACACTGGGATTACCCATTAGTGCGATACCAAGTGAGAGTTTTCTCTTGTTGCCTCCGGAGAGAGTTGTTGCTATTCGATCAGCGTATTCTTCCAAGCCAACACTTTTAATGATTTCCTTGAAATTGTGCCGTGGGTTACTGATACCACGGACTTTGGCGTAGAATCGAAGGTGCTCAGCAACCGTCATTGGGTCCAGAGGGTCGATTTGAGGACAGACTCCGAGCCTAGAACGTGCTAGTGCGCGATGTTTTAGGGCTGAGACACCGTCGATAAATATCTGGCTCTGGCGACTGCTTGGCTGAGCGTCTCCGCGGATCATTGAAATGCAGGTAGACTTACCCGCCCCGTTGGGTCCGATGAGGGCAAAACATTCACCACGCGGGACTCCGAAAGTGATGTCGTTAACTGCTAAATGTTTTTTGAACTGCTTTCTCAATCGAAGGACCTGAAGACCATCGTCACTGGATGTGGAAATCCTCGCAAATTCGGCAGTCGTCTCGAGTTCAATCGTGTCTCTGTCCTCTGCATCTGTTCCTGATTTTGTCCTACTCCAGAACTGCACTGAAGGCCCCGCATCCTTCCACTGAAGCATTCCAAATAGAATAAACGATTGAATAAAGAGGTATAAAATCGGCCCTCCAAATACATCCATCGCGCCGGGGTATGCTGCAATTTCACGACCTCGACAGGTCGCTCCAAAAATGTTCAACGAAAGGTAGAGTGCTCTTGAGAAGCTGTGCACCGGCGAAGTTACCCCAAGGCTGTAGTAAGCGATACTCAATACTGAGTTCTGTTGTGAAGCATCAACATAGGTCAATGTGACTACGAAAACAACCAAAAATACGAGATACATCCCCGCCTGAATGGCTGCGGTGACGGCAAATGCCGCTAGCTGAGATGGAGAGAATAAGGAAATAACGTAGGAGAACAGAGTCGAGGCGACACCATAGAGTAGAAAAATCAAAAACAGGTATTCCATGCGGTACCAGATACCAGTGACCGACGCAAGAATCGCAACGGTGATGGAGGCAATAGTTAGTGTGATCAAAAAGTCGAAAGCCAGATAAGCCAACCATAATGGCAAGGCACGGACGCCATTGCTATAATGCATGCTTCGGACTGCGCGTAATCTTTCAACGGTTGGATAGAGAGATAGAAAAGCCGGGTATACCGCCACTGACAGTCCGAAGAATGTAACAAAGATCAGCAAATTTCCAATCTCTGCCACAAAAGGGAGATCGAGTGACTTGTAGTCGGTGATAATGGTGGTATTCAGAAGCATACTATTCATGACGTTTTGGACTATAATTCCTGGCACTATCGGCACATCTGCCCGCCACACGAAAGTAGGTTTTTCCCCAAGAAAGAACCCGCCAGGAGTCAGATTTGCGAATTGGCGCCGAACTTCATAATCAAACTGAGATAAAGTCTCCACAAAATTTACAGACCCTGGAGGAGCTTCGGAAATTCTTTGGTGAGCGACTTCAGAAAGCTGGGACTTTGGGCCCGCTATCAAACGAAAACTCTGCGAAGACGATTCCAAAGCAGAAACGGATGCTCCCAATGCAGGATTACAATCCACGGATTCAACATTTCTTAGAAAGATAGAGGCACAACCAGCAGCGACAATGGGAATGGCAAGAGCGGCGATAGATGGAGCAAGGTTCCTTTGAAGGATAGTGAATCTTTTCGAGAAAAGAATCGTTAATTGTTTAAGCAAGCTGGTTCTCCTGCCACTGAGCAGTTCCAGGCGAGTGGACGATTTGCCTCGTTCCATGGAAACCAAAGGTGCCGGTGGCTTCGCCAAAAGTCTGCGAGTATCAGACCCATGATCGAAGCTGTCATGACCCGATTTTGCTTCATCAGCGACTTTGAGGAACACATCTTCTATCGTTGGCCCATTGACTTGATATTCTTTCACACCATCTCCCTGTAGCCGTTTAAGGAACATCAGAGTGCATGCGGATGTCCCCGGGTAGTATACCGTCCCTTGCTCATCATTCGCATGAAGCACATCGCCGTAGACAGGCGGTTTGATCACCCCAGGCATGTTATATAAATGAACACGATATCCTGTCCCTAGTCTTTGTTTCAACTCCACGGACGTCCCTTCCGCTTTGAGTGATCCATGAGCCAAGATAGCGATCCGGTCCGCAAGCAAATCAGCCTCATCTAGGAAATGGGTTGTCAAAATTATTGAGCGTTTGCCCCGTTCCGCTAGAAGAATATCCCATAATTTACGGCGTGATAATGGGTAAACTCCTGAGGAAACTTCGTCCACGCAACAGATAGTGGAGCGGCCAGCAAACATCACTGCCATCTGTAGTTTGCGCTTTTGTCCTCCAGAGAGATGTTTTGAGTAGGTGGAAACCTTCTTGGCCAAATCGCAATCTTCGATTAAGACCCTGAGATTTTCTGCTGAGGACCTTGGTCCAACGCTTTTGATGCTGTCAAAAATCTTTACATGTTCGGCAACTGTCAGGTCGTCCCATAAGACATTTTTTTGCGGGCAGTACCCTAGTGTCCCTTGACTGTGTGGGTAGTCTATCACAATCCTTCCCGAAGAAATGGAATGTATCCCCGCAATAGCATCAAGTGTTGTAGACTTGCCACTTCCATTCGCTCCTAGAAGAACCATGATTTCCCCTCGATATGCTTGAAGAGTTAAATCTTCTACCGCATGGACTGTAGTGAGAAGCTCCCTAGTCATAAATGATATCGCTCTTCGGACGAACGAGGGTCGATATGTCTTGCTCATCCTGCTCAAGTGGATGGCAACGGGGGAGTTTGAGATTTTCGTTTTCCTGGAAGTGGATGCCCTGCCGTAAAAACCTCCTTCAACGAACGCCCCCAAAAGTGGATAAATAACCACCTGGAGTATTGCAAATATCCAAAATACAATGGCGGGTAAAGTGGACGGGCTATTTGGGGCTGGGAGTAGCAACTTGGCCGCCTTAGTTTGACTCTCCCATCTAGCAACTGTAATGATGAAATAGACGTAGTTCATCGGAGGGAATATAAAGGAGAGCACAGCCATGACCCATGTAGTCACCTTTCCTGAAACCTGGGCTAGAATTGCGAGGACTAAGCTGAGGATTACTGCTAGTATGCCACTCAGCTGCGCTTTTCTGAAAAAAACTCCAGTAAATACTGCAAAGGAAGTAAGCGATAATCCGGAAAGCGTATTAAATACGATTGGAATTATAACTGAAGTTTCGCGAAAAGCCACGGCTCCCAGAATCGTACCCATACCAACCCAGCCAGGACCATAAACAATGACAAAAGACAGGTGATGGGACGTGAGTCTTATCATTTGCCTTTGCCAACGTGATTGATTAGGCATCATCGTATCGAGCAGGGCAGCCATACCGGTTTCTCGTTCAGTGGCGATGAGGCCCGTCGTTTGATACAGGACTCCGACCATAGAAATATAAAACGCAACAGCCAAAATATTGACGACGTTGTTCATATACTTGGAATGAATGTCGTCCTGTTGCTGCTCATGTGTCCTGGCAGTGAAAGGATATTCAAATATCGTTTTTGATGAGCTGCCGCCATTGCTGGATTTAAGCGCCCCGAGACGGCTGATTGCAAAGTCGATGGAGTGCTGCAGCGGCAAGGTATATATTTGTGCGTCGTTGTCACCGGCCTTTGTGTTGATCTTAGTTCCAAGTACCCCATCTGCTCGAATGGAATAGTTCCATCGACCACCACTGCCTTCGGAAGGAGAAGCGTAGAATACAGCAGCGCAGATACACCGGGAAGATCCCCTGAAAGAGCCGCGACATTCTGTGCGAAGCTCATTCTCGGTTTGAAATGTTTTAACCTCGATATCTAAATCTCGCAAAGGCGCCGTCACATTTTTAATGACCAGATCAATCTCACCCCCTGAGAATCCGCTGTTGACAAGGACGATCCGGTTACGTCCTCCCGATGCTCCGTCTATTGCATTGGACAGAGTTCGAACAGGCCGCGGTTCTCCAATACCAAATTGTGATGATGGAAAGAAAAGATTCCCCGAGTAGGACCTGCCTTGAGTCAGCTCAGTTACTTGTCAGGGGAAGGGGGAAGTGTCGCACAGGAAAATAACAAAAAGAAGTGGTAAGAAAAGCGCCCGCAAAGGAGTCGATAGCCAATGTCTGTAGAGTGTGATAATCAGATTTTTGTGAGTTAAAGGTCCAAACTTGACGCAAAATACGAGCCATGGAGGTCAAACTTTGACAAACTATCAAATTAGAGCATACGGTGAAGGTTGAAACAAATAGTAGAGGATAAAAGGAGGGTAGAGAACTAGTATGTTGTTATCTTTCATCTCGGGTGGATGCACGGGGAGTACTTTATATAGAAAGCCACCCGAGTTTCCGAGAGACGGGATTTCCCCTGGGGAGTACGGGGTGTCTTAGAGATATTGAGATTTAAGGCTGAGCAGTATATTGAAAACAATAGAATCCGTCAATGACTGACGGTATAAAGCACACGTTGACTTGAGGGCGGCAGCCCTGCCGAATCACTTTCGTCTAGGTCTAGATATATATGCCAAGACACGGGATCGGGATTCCGTGTCAGGAAACGGAGACGACAATTCAACCGGTAATCCTTGTGGAGATGTCTGAAAGCTCATCTCATGATACCAAGGCCCAATCAAAGACGGCCCCTTATGGCCGTAGTCCTCGCAATCAAGTCCTCATGATTCTGTTTGAACAGTGGTGAGGAGTAGCTAAGGTGTATCGCAGGGGAGAGCTAATGATGATTTTATTGTTAGAGAGAGATAATATAAAAATATAAAATGTTTTTGTAGCATACAAGCCTTGGTGTGCTAATTATTGCGGGGCTAGTTCACATTAGAAAATAGCAATTCTACAGGCGGACTGTAATATAGTAGAATTGAATATTTTCATCATCATTATCCTTCTCTGTAAATCATCAATTTGATTGCTCTGTAATAACTAATTTTTTTAAAAAACAACATCTACACAGCCCGGCCTGCAAGCTATCTAATCATCTTTGATGAATTTAACAGCCATTTTTAAGAGGTACTGAACATGGTTCAATTTTCTTTGAAGAGAGGTGTTCTCATGGCACAGGTATTCAATCTCAACTTCTTTAGCATCAAGCAACTCAATGCTTTTGTCCCTGACATGACATTTGACAGGGTGGGCCAGGGCTGTAACAGGCTAACAGCAGCAGCGGGTTGTTTGCAGAGAAAGAGATTCTGCTTGACAACTGCAGCAGGCTTCTTTTTCTCCTTCTTCTTCTTCTTCTTCTTCTTCTTCTTCTTCTTCTTCTTCTTCTCTCTTTTCTCTATCTCTGTCTTCTTCTTCATCTTCTCCTTCTTCTCTGTCTTCTTCTTAGACTGACCGTGTGACCGTGTCTGAGACCAGGATCAGAATTTTTAATAGTCTTATTACCAATTCAACTGATCTCATTACACAGTTTTAACATTAGATAGTAGTCTCATACTGTCTCAGTAAGACTTACTGTCTACTCTTATCACATTTTTCAAATAGAATCATGATTTTCACTTCTCAATTTAAATTATTTTTATTGCTTTAAATAACTTTAAATCTTATTTAAGTGTTATCAAAAAGCATTACTTTTTAAAAAATTAAAAATAGTCTAAAAAAAACCTTAAAATGTCTAAAAATAGTAACTTTATACTAAGAATGAGACTAAATGAGATTAAATGAGACTACTTTCCCATTTTTTTCAAGTCATAATTTCATTTTGAGATTTAATATATAGTCACTTTGCATGTTTTTTTAATAACTAGTCTCAGCAGAATTCACATCAAGAAATGTATGAGATTAAATCAAATGAAATTAAATGTGAAATTCATAATCTTAGTTAGACTGACTGTGTGACCGTTTCTGAAACCAGGACCAGATTTTTTAATAGTCTCATTACTAATTCAACTGATCTCATTACACAGTTTTAACATTAGATAGTAGTTTCATACTGTCTCAGTGAAACTTACTGTCTACTCTTATCACATTTTTCAAATGAGACCATGATTTTCACTTCTCAATTTAAATTATTTTTATTGCTTTAAATGACTTTAAATCTCATTTGAGTGTTATCAAAAAGCATTACTTTTTAAAAAATTAAAAATAGTCTAAAAAAAACCTTAAAATGTCTAAAAATAGTAACTTTATGTCAAGAATGAGACTAAATGAGATCAAATGAGATCACTTTCTCATTTTTTTCAAGTCATGGTTTCATTTTAAGATCTGATATATAGTCACTTTACATGTTTTTTTGATAGCCAGTCCCAGCGGGATTCATGCCAAGAAATGTATGAGATCAGACCAAATGAGATCAAATGTGAAATTCATGATCTCAGCGGCCAGTCTAATCTTAGTAATCAGTCTACTTCTTCTTCTTCTTCTTGAAATTGATAATTCAGTTGTCTAATTGTATATCAGCTTATTACTAATTTGCACTTGAATTCATAGTATAGACTTACTCAAATGATAGAAGTAACAGCTTTTAGACTGATCACTAAAACTATGAATTTCACATTTGATCTCATTTAATCTGATTTCATACATTTCTTGATGTAAGAGGCCTACGCTGAATAGATTGGTATTATATTAATAGATCTTATATAACAAAAATAAAAATGTTAAAGAAGAAAAGAAAGAGAAAGTGCAAGAATCAGTGATTAAGATAAATATTTATACACATATATAGTGATATACACAGTGAAGCTTCGGAGCAGAAGAATATGCATGTGTTTGTAGCAGCTGAGAATCAGTGATCAGAAATGACTGAGAATTGAAGTGTATACTACATGTATTTATAGTGATTATGAATCAGTGATCAGAAATGAAAGAATCTATGAAGTGTAATAAAATAGTCTATATAATTAATCAGACACAGTCTATTATATTAGTTCTCTCTTTTCAGAAGCAGTTCTCATCAGTCAAGAACTACTGTTTTAAATAACACAGAACTTAGAGTTCAGATCAGTTAATTATAGCTGACTCATTTCATAAGATATTATTAACTACAGCTGCAGAATCTCTCATTAAGAATATCTTCAATCTCTTACTTAAGCTTATTATCTTCTTCTATAATGTCTGACAGCTGTCAGTCAGAAGTCAGCTGAGAAGAGAATGAATTAGTAATAGTATAACAGAATAAGCTTGTATAAAATATATTATAAATCTCTACTGATGTGTCAAGATAATAGTTGTAATTATCTAGAACTTCTATCACTTTATATCTGATATGACAGTAGTCTAGTATATAAGATAAATATATGATTTATATATTCTTGAGATTTAATTATACAAGATCTTCTATCTTATACTGCTCTGCAGAATCTCATCAGATATTAATTTAATCTTCTTAATCTTATTTTACAGTTATTATAGAAACCTCTGCTCAGTTACAGATATCTCAGAGCTTTATTACTATATTATCAATGATCTGAATTAAACTGTGAGAGTTTGATATAAACTGTGTAATCTCTAGAAGATTCAACACTTTCATATGATATTTATATATAAGAAAGAACAGACTTATATCTATTAAAACAGCATCTCAATTATTAATAGTAATCTCTGTATATAGAAGAAGATTATATTAATTATGTTATAAGTAATTACAGAACTTATAAAGATAATTCTTTATAATCTGAATTATTTATTCTGATGCATCATTGATCTCAGAGTGATAGATAGTTAATAGATAGTATATAATCTTGAGAACTTGATAGATTCTTATTCAGAGAATGCTTATAAATTAGCAGCTCTGATCTGATACTATTAATCTCAGTAATTTATATATCTGATAGAATGAACTCTGTAAGAAGACTTCAGTAACTTATTCAGTATTCATCTTATTATAAGATTTCAATATTATACTCTTACTTAGTCAGTTAATAATGATCAGAATGTTTCTACAACTTTTACTCTTAGATAAATTAATAGTAAAGTCAATTACTACATCTCATCAGATTTTATCAGAGATATTAAGTGATTTCAGTAGATCTTTTCTACAGTTCTTTCATAAGATAATAGAAGAACAGTGATTACAGTTTCAGACAAAGCATCTGATACTATTTAATATCTCAGACTAGTAGAATTCTCAGAAGATTATTCTATACAGTTATTTATAACTCAGATAACTAATTATATATGAATTATATATCTCTTACATTATCTGAGTGTGTAAGAATTCAGAGTGAGAGACTCAGTATCATTCACAGAATTATAGAGTGTTATTATTATTAATTGAATATTCTGAGATATCAGTTCTTATACATAGTTCTGAGAAAAATCAGAGTATTTCTTAATATACTGCTTCAGTAAGAGTCTGAAGAAGTTTATTAGTCTGAGTGACTGTATATCACAGTTCATTCAGTGTAGAGAAAGTGAAGATATTAATATCAGTTCTAATCAGAGAAGCATGTATAATACTGTAAGCTGTTTCATCTTGATTAACTAGTATCTTTGAATTCAAGAGTCAGTGCTCTCAGTTTATTCAGTGAGTATCTATTATATTAAATAGCATATCTTACTCTTATTATGAGAGAGTATCTGTTATTGAGTTCTGACTGCTAGAATAATAGTGTATTATAAAATGAAAGCAGCTTAGAAACTCAGATCATTGTATCTATTATTCAGTAAGTTTATAAGTAGTTATAAAGTATTTAAGATTCTTATAATCTATGACTATCTTAAATTCAGAGATACTTCAGAGTTCAGAGTCTTATTCTTCTAAACAGTGTATAATTATAAGAAGTTTCTTATCATAGATCTTATAATTGTATTCAGTGAGACTCAGTTTCTTAGATATGAAGATATATAATTATAGAACATCTTTATCATTATATTATAATATCACTTCTTCTATTATATAGTCAGAGAAATCAGCTTTAATAACTATCTTATAATCAGAATCAAATGTTATCAGTAGAGAGATATTAATAAATATCTTCTTCATCTATATAAATACAGCTTCAGTGTTCACTGATTATTGAAATACTGAGTCTTTCTTAGTGAGATCTGTAAGTGATCTCATGATATCTGAGAAGTTTCATATAAATTGCTGATAGAAGTTAGTAAATCTGATAAAGCTTTATACATCTTTCACAGTATACAGAGCTTCTCATTCAAGAATAATAAAGACTTTCTCAGAATTCATTCAAATCTTCTTATCAGCTTCTATAATAAAACTCAGATACTTGATACTCTTGACTTTAAAATCATACTTATTAATATCTATTAGTAGTTCTGCTTCTCATAGTCATTGTAATATCTTTCATATATATTCTTGATATTCTTTTCTGAATTCATTGATGAAAATGAGAATGTCATTCAGATAAGCAGATATAAACTCATTAAGAAAATCTCAGAGTACTCAGTTAATATACTTCTGAAATATACTGAGAGTATTAGTCAGTTCAAAGAATGTGACTATTCATTCAAAGAGATTATAACATGTTCAGAATGCTATAAGTCATTCATCTTCTTCAGTGATATAAATCTTATAAAACACAGTGATGATATCTAGTTTTATAAATTATTGAGCTCACTCAATCTGTGCTAGAGTTTCATTGATAAGAGATAAGAAATATCAATCTTTCTTTATCAATCTGTTCAGATCTCAGTAGTTCACACAGAATCAGAGTTCTTCATCTAATTTCTTTACAAAGAGAATAGAAGCTGTAGCAGAAGAGTTGCTAATATATATAAATTCTTTATTCAACAGATCATTGAGTGTCTTTTGAAGAAGAAGAAGTTCATCTCAGAACATATTATAAAGAGAGTCTCATAACAGTTCAGAGTTCTTATTATTCTTTTTCTCTAACTTGATACTGTGATTCACCTCAGAATCTTGTAAGAGAGATATATTTATAATATTATCTTGTCAGAAGATATCTAGATATTCATGATATTATTGAGAAAGTTTCATACAAGAATCTATTATTATAATACAGAATAACTTTTCTAGAGCCTTTTTAATATCAGTCAGACTGACAGAATAGATTGATATATAATTCTGCTATCAGTGAACTTATCAGTGACTCTATCAGTGATTTTGATAATGACTTCTTTTTCAGAGTATTTTATATGCATTGACAGAGATCTGTGTCAGATTCATGATCTTGTAAATATCATCTTTATAGACTCTATTATTATTAGAGAATATCAAGCTTCTATTTTAAGTGTTCAATAAGATGTCTTATTCAGATAGTCAGACAAGTTCTAATATAAAATTGTAATCAAGATTATCAACTTCATATATATAAATATCTTTATATTGATATTCTCTTATATCTATGATCAGCTTCATTATATAACAGATACAAACATC